AACTGTCAGGCACCTGCTTCCTGAAAGTCCTCTTTGTAAGTCCCCCCTCAGTTTGTGGTCTGGTCTGGTCCTGCAAGTGTCCCTCCTGGAGGTTCCAAGTCAGCCCTGGCTCCCTGCCTAGAGTTCCTCAGCCTTGGTTCCTGGGCAGTGAAAATGCTGGGATGGAGCAAGGAGGCCTGGGGGCAGGGAAGTGGTAGAACCTAGAGGAACAGGGAGGAAGAGGAGGAGGGATAGAGGACGCAGCTGGACAGAATAGAAGTCTTATTTCTGCAGAGGGAAGAGGCCAGCTTCTGATATGGCTGAAGAACTCTGTCTGAGGCCTCTCCCGGGAAGATGCTTCAAGGATCTTTTGATCAAGGTGACCACTGAAGGCCAGCACACACGAGACCACAGGTTTCGGTTTAGGTGGAAGTAAATAATCCCATTACTCCATGATCTTGTATTCCTCTTCAAGCCTAGGAAATTCTGAAAATCAGCTAAAAAAAGCAAAGGTGAGCTGTGGCCAGGGTTGGAAGCCACCACTGCAACAGGACATGTATGGAGCAGTGAGCTGGGGATGTTACGGACTCAACTGTATACCTGAAAATCCATATGTTGACACTCAAACCCCAATGTGACTGTATTTGAAGATAGGGTCTTTAAGGTGGTAATTAAGGTAATTGGCTAATCCAATCAAATTAGTGTCCTTATAAGAGGAGAATGGGACACGCACGCTCAGTGGGCAGACCCTGTGAGAACACAGGAGCACAGGCTAGGGAAAAACCAGCCCTGCCCACCCCCGGATCTCGGACTTTGGCTTCCAGAAGTGGCAGAAAATAAGTGTCTATTGTTTAAATATTGTGTCTATTGTTTGTCTGCCCCTTGCTGGGGCAGCTGCATCCAAAGGCTGACTGACAGGGGAGCGGGAGTCATGAGAACCCCACAGTCAGTGATATGTTCTTATGGGAGCCTGAGCTGGCTAAGACTCTGCGAGGGAGAAACTCTGGGTGGGTCAGTGAAGACCACATTTGTAGGTGGTGCGGATCACCGCTAGAGAGCGAGCCTTGAGGCTTTTGCCACTGCTGCCAGATCCATGGCAGGAAGTCCTAGACCAGAAAGAGGGTGGTTAATGACCTGTGAATGTGGTCGGCTTCCTCTAAAATCAGGCTGTTAGGGGAGGCTGCCCATTGATGAGACTGCAGCGGATCCAGGGTGAAGCAGTTAAGCTTGCAGAGAAATGCCTGCCACGGAAAACCCCCATATATGTGTCAAGGAGGCGGAGCACCCAGATGTCTTCGGATTAGTTCTCACCGGCGTTCACAGTACGGGACTGGACAAGCCTCGGCAAGCCTGCAGGAACGGGCCTCCTTCCAGGGGAAGTTGTGTGCCCGCAGACCTGCTGTGAGGGCAGCCGTGCTTCTCTGCAGTTGGTGGCTCTTTTATGATCTCACCCCTTACTGCAAGGGTACAAGGAAGGACATGTGACTAGGGTGGCATGCAGATGCCAGGCTACCCAGGCCAATCCCTCTTCCATGATGAATGGGCTCACTCTCCCAGCTGCTGCCAGGGTGGGTGGCCCCATGCCCAGTGGAGTCCCTCTGCAAGACATGCCCATGCTCGGGTGCCCCTTGCTGGGCCAGCTGCTTCCAATGGCTGACTGACAGAGGAGCGGTGGTCATGAGAACCCTGTCTCTTTGCCCCAGTCTGAGTGATCCCAGCACAGAGCTGCCCACAGGGTGGGCTGAGGCTTCTGTGACAGTGTTACCATTCAATACCATCTTCAACTCTTACTTCGTTCCTTCCCTCCCACAGGTGTTCCCAAGAACACCCTCCAGTGACTGTCCTGTGCACTGATCTCTACATCTGAGTCGGCTCCCCTCATTTCAGAGCAGCCCACCTATGGGCCGACCCTATAACCAGACTTATGACTAGAGGTTTGGGGGGGCCAGTAGAGGCCCAACCCTCTACTATTTTTATAGGCACCTGGTATAGAAAAAGAAAAAAGAGCTAAACCAGGATTACAAAATTTGTGGCATATTTTCAATGTTTATATTAAACATGTTGATTAAAACTTTTATCAAAAGTAGACAGTTGTAATATTATCTTGCTACTCATGAGGTAATTATAAGGCTTTATAAAAGATATGCATTCACAGTGACCACACACAGAAATGAGACCTGGTTTAAAGTAGTATGTTTAGTGTAAGGCAGTATGTGTCTTCTTTTGAACATCCCAGGTTTCATATGAAGTTTCATGCACGTGTGTGGGAAAGTGTGAAGTTGGCAGCTCCCAAAGCACACTAAGTCATGGGTCTGAAACCACGAGCCATCACTCCCAACCTGGCCAACATGGCCCTTCAAGCCCCACACAGCAGGAACTCGGGCAGCCCTTGGGCACCAGGATTGCCGTCTCCACCTCCTGAGACAATGTACCGAAAGCGCAGGATGAAATCCCACCATGGAGCACAGCAGCTGCCCCAGCTCAGGACCCCTAGCTGCACACCCTTGGCAGGCAGCCCCAGCCCCAGCCCCAGCCCCAGCCCCAGGGCAGCAGGAAGGATCCCACGGGAGGCCGGCAGAAGCACTGTGCTGCTAGCCCCACTCTAAATCACTGGTCTAGAAAATTGAGAACAAATTAGATGGTGGTGGTTTTCAGTCACTAAGTTTTGGGCATGGTTTCTAAAATCCCATGTGGAGATAAAGTTACAGTTGGCCCTTGAACAATGCTGGGGCGAGGGGCATCGACCCCTGTGCAGTCAAAAATGCCCATATAACTTTTGACTTCCCACAAACTTAACTAGGAGTAGCTGACTGTTGACTTACCAACCACATAAGCAGTTGATTGACACATATTTCGTCACATGTGTCATATACTGTACTCTAACACTAAAGTAAGCTAGAGAGAAAAAGAATAACATTAAAAAAGCCAGGCGCGGTGGCTCATACCTATCATCCCAGCACTTTGGGAGGCCAAGCCGGGTTGATCACCTGAGGTCAGGAGTTCGAGACCAGCCTGGCCAACATGCGGGAACCCTGTCTCTACTAAAAATACAAAAATTAGCAGGGTGTGGTGGCGCACGCCTATAATCCCAGCTACTCTGGAGGTGGAGACAGAGGAATCGCTTGAATCTGAAAGGCAGAGGTTGCAGTGAACCAAGATCACGCCACTGCACTCCAGCCTGGGCAGCAGAGCAAGACTCCCTCTCAAAAAAAAAAATATTAAGTTAGAGAAAAGAAAATGTCATTATAAAATGTATAAGAAAGAGAAAATGTATTTACTCTTCATTAAGTAGACATGGATCATTGTAAAGGTCTTCAGCTTCACCTTCACCTTGAGGAAGAGGAACAGGAGGGGCTGCTCTTGCTGCCTCAGGGGTGGCAGAGGATGAAAATCCATGGCTAAGTGGACCCGCACAGTTCAAACCTGTGTGGCTAACGGGTCAACTGTCAACTAAATTTGGTTCCCTTCATGACAGAGCCCCCCTGTCCCATCATAGGCCTTACCTGTGTGTGCCCTTGCCTTATGTGAAATCTGACTTAGAGTAAGGAGATAGCCAGTTGAGGAACATGGACTACGGAATCTGATGGACTAGGCTTGCTGGCAGTGGAAATCGAAACTAGAAGGAAATTGGCCAGTTGGTGCTGCAGGAGCCACAGCGTCCTCATGAAAGCCAGTGATGAGGGGCAGACCACATGGGGCAAGAGCCAGCCAGCAGACCCGGATGCAGGGGGAGGGAAGGGGGCAAGGAGCGGCGGCACCCACCAGCAACAGCGACCTCCCTAGAACGGCTGCTGCCTGTCCTCCCTTAACGAGCCCTTTCTGGTCGCGTAGATGGAGTAAGTCCCTTCTTCCTGAACTCTAATAAAAGGAAACAGCAATGTTCTAGTGAGTGAGATATGTAAAGGATTTGGAAAAAAAGTGGCTTACCCAAGGGCGTTTCTTGCAGTGCTATTCATAGCAACCAAAAACTGGAAAGGGGCCAAGTGCCCCACAGACACGCATGTGGAGTGTGTCGATTCATAGAAAGGGGTGCCTGGAGGCAGCTGAAACCAAGACAGAATGTGAAACTCACTCTGGCTGCTGAGATGGAAGCATGAACATCAGTTATTGGGAAGTGGCAAAAGGTTATCCAAATGGTCGACATTTCATATATTTTAACTGTTCCTGTAAAATTGTGAATATAAAGGAAATTTAAATTAAATGATAGCTCTTCCACAGATGGCTATAAAATGAGATGCTCAGTGCCTGGCAGCCTTGCCTCCTCTTTCTCTTTCTTTGGTGTGTATCCACCAAAGTCAAGTTCCCCCGCCTGGCTCCATCTGCACGATGCCATGAGGGCTGTACGGTGGCCCAGAGGATATGTGTGGTGAGTCCTTGTCAGGTGAGCTTAGGGTACCCAGCTCAAAACTTACCTCGCAGGCAGCCATGTCCAGCCCTTCAAAGGACCTGTCAACACATCAGGGTGGGAACAGGCACAGGATGTCCTGTGCCATGTGCAGAGTACCTAGGTGGTCCATTCCTTGGACACTGCCATCCTCCTGGCAGGATGAGCCTGAAGAACCGTGGGCCTGGAAGTCAGGAGGATCCCGAGTATGTATTTATGGCTCAGCTGGAGGGATGGTCCCCAGAGTTTATCGCTGGTGGCACCACAGATCATTCTATTATATACATACAAATTTAATCCTAGAACGCCATCCTATGGAGTAGGTGCTGTTATTTCCCTATCTTACAGATGAAGAAAGGAGGCAGAATAGGGGTCTCATCAGTGGCTGAGCAGGAACTGAATCTACTCCAGATATTACTAAGTTCCTCCAGGTGATGGAGGAAGTATAATCTCCACCGAATGAGTCTTACCATTAGCCTGTATCTTGCTAGGCACTTCAGACCCATGATCTGGTTGATTTCACCCACAGTAGATGGTCCCTGCATGATACCTGAGAATACTGAAGCTTGGAGTCATTGGATGACTGGCCTGTGACCCATGGCAAGTAAGGGGTGTGGCTGTATTGAACCCCAAATCTGTCCTCTTTACTAGGATAGAATTTCTCAATAGCCTTTCTGGAAGAATAATTATGCTTCATGACATATTCCCGAAAAACCCTAACTTGAGAATTCAGTGGCAACTCTGACTCTGAGGTTGTGGGGGGTCTCTAAGGAGTGTCTCCTTTAGGGCTGTGATGGCATTAAGTGTTGGAGAATTCTGCCTAAGACCTTAGGCAACTGATTAAGATGCTAGGAGTGAATGAGGATGACTCTGTTCCCTAAAATGCTCTGGAAAGCAAGATTACTGTGTGGAAGTAGAGATTTTTTTAAGAAAACACCACAAATAGAGCAGAATGGGATGGCAAGTGGATCACCCATGCTGTTTTAAGCCAGAGTTTCTGGTGGGAACTAAGGGGCAGGGTGAATGGTCCATAGTGGAGGATTGGCACCTTTTTCCAGCCCCCACTCAGAGTTTGTGGCTTCCTGATATACCTTTCCTCGCTGGGGACACTTCCTCCCTAGAAAAGAGTAGGTTAAATAATCAAGCAGCCCTGCCTTATTCATGAATATTGGTATACCCGGTGCTGTGATGGCAAAAGGAACAGATGCTTCTGTGCAGAAAGGCCACTCCATGATACTGCTCCTATTCATAGGGTGGTTACCACATGTTGTCATAGTGACCAATCAATCATATTAGTCACGATGCTTTAAGCTGCAAGTAAAAAAAACAATCCAGGAGTCAGGTGTCAGGGCATGTGTTGGTAGTCTCAGTTACTTGGGGGCCTGAGGTGGGAAGATAGCTTGATCTTAGGAGTTCAAGAGCAGCCTGAGCAAAATAGCAAGACCCTGTCTCAAAAACAAAACAAAACAAAAACGCAACAGTAAGGGTGTTTACTGACTCTCAGAATGTGAAGTCCACGGTGGGATGGTCTGTGATGACCTCGGATGCCCATGTTTCCTCTGCTCCGCTATGTTGAGGCCCACAGGGTCAGCTTCCTCCTCAGTGGACTCTACTTAGAGCCAGGGAGGCTGCCAGTGCACCTGAGGTTCCACAATTTCTCATTCACAGCTCACCCCTTTTCTAGACACCCCCAATAAACTTCCTCCCCCTCACTTTTGTTTGGCCTGAGTTGATTCCCAGGCCCATTCCTAAGCCAACTACTATATCCCTGGGACACGGGGATGGATGGCTTTGATTGATAGGCATGGTAGAGAACAGGCAAGCTGGCTGTCCTTGCTGTGCCATGACTGAGTTACTGACGCATAGTTCTGCAAACAAAATAAAATGATGTTTGTTTTATGCCACTCTATTTCAGGTGGTTTATTACGCTGCATTATATTTTAATTCATTATGGACAAAAGTTAGATATGAAAATCCACTAAAACAACACTATTAGGTAAAAATTATCATCCTGATGGCCAGGCGTGGTGGCTCACGGCTACAATCCCAGCACTTTGGGAGGCCGGTGGATCACCTGAGGTCAGGAGTTCGAGACCAGCCTAATCAACATATTGAAACTCTGTCTCTACTAAAAATACAAAAATTAGCTGGGCATGGTGGTGTATGCCTGTAATCCCAGCTACTTGGGAAGCTGAGGCAGAAGACTCACTTGGACCTGGGAGGTGGAGGTTGAAGTGAGCCAAGATCCTGCCATTGCACTCCAGCCTGGGCAAGAGTGAGACTTTGTCATAAAAAAAAAAAAAAAAAAAAAAAAATTATCATCCTGAATCTACAGCTGAGGAAGTTGAGGAAGTTGAATTAGAGAATCTGTGTAATACTTACCTGGCAGGGGAGATACCATGATCAGGAAGTTGGTTTTCCCAGGGCAAGGCTTATCCATTGCACTCCGGATGTGCTGACCCCTGAGATTTCCCCAAATGTGGGAAACTCGACTACATAATTCGTAGTAGTGGGGGACTGTGTTCTCGCTTTCCCCTGGCTAAAAAAAAAAAAAGAAAAGAAAGAAAGGAAAAAAAAGAAAAAAAAAGAGAGTCTGTGTAATTTATCCATAGCCCTATGACTAACAAGAAGCAAAGTTAGGATTTGAACCCTGGGTAAAATGCCTGGTTCCAAAGCATATGCCTTTAACTAGAACTGAATTAATGTGGAGCCCCCAACTGAAGGCTCAGTTAGGGTACAGTGACAAACTTCCTCCATGGGTGATGGCCCCTATATAAGGAGTCCTCATGGAGTTTTTGAGACATGCAGACACGGGGGCTCTGAGAGACAGAGCAGCTGCTAACTGCTGCCCTCACTGACTGCTCTCTCAGAGCCCCAGCTGGGACCCTGGACTCTTAATAACTCAGACACTTAGGGCTCCTGGCAGTTTGGAAAGTCTGTGCAGCTCTCCCTGGGAAGAGTCTTTCTGGAATACATCTGCCCTCAGCATCGCACAGCCCCCAAAGAGTCTGTTCCAGCCTCCCAGAGTCCTATTACAGAAGCCCTCGTGCCAACATCTTAACTGCCTCCGGACTACTTTGCACCAGTACTGGTGCCTTGCAGGTAGTCAACATTTAATCCATGTCTGTTAACTAAATGAGTTATCACTGATATTCTTTAGGGCAGCCCTCCCCTCCCCTCCCCTCCTTTGCTTCCCTTCCCTTCCCCTCCTTTCCCTTCCCTTCCCTTCCCTTCCCCTCCTCTCCGCCCCTACCTCCCCTCCCTTCCCGTCCCCCTCCTTCCCCTTCCCCTCCCCTTTCTTCTCCTCCCCTTCCCCTCCTTCCCCTCCCCTTCACCTCCCCTTCCTTCCTTTCCCTTCTCCTCCCCTCCCCTCTCCCCATCTTCCCCCTCCCCTTCCTTCCCTCCCCCTCCCTCCTCTCCCCCATTCCTTCTCCCCTCCCCCTTCTCCCTCCCCTCCCTCCTTTCCCCCCCATTCCCCCTCCCCTCCTTCCCCCTCCCCTTCCCCCTCTCCCCCTCCCTTCCTTCCCCCCTCCTCCCCCTCCCTTCCTTCCTTTCTTTCTTCTTTTGAGACGGAGTCTCAGTCTGTTGCCCAGGCTGGAGTGCAGTGGTGCGATCCTGGCTCATTGCAGCCTCTGCCTCCTGGGTTCAAGCAATTCTTGTGTCTCAGCTTCCTGAGTAGCTGGGATTACATGCCCATGCCTGGCTAATTTTTGTCTTTTTAGCAGAGATGCTGTTTCTTCACGTTGGCCAGGCTGGTCTTAAATTCGTGACCTCAAGTGATCCACCCACCTTGGCCTCCCCAAGTGCTGGGATTACAGGCATGAGCCACCACACCTGGCCTAGTACAGGCTTTCTGAGTTGCATTACTTCCTTATCCCTTATTCCTCCTTTCTTCAAAGATTCCCGGCATTCCTAAGGGAAAACTGAAGGAGTGTCACAGGGGTGCTCGGGGACTCGAGTCCTTTACAGACTTGTTTCCTAGTTCTAGAAGTAAAAGGCACCACTTTTTACTGGGAACAGTCTTGACCGCCTAACTCACTTCCTGCTGGGTGGAAGCCCTATGTTGTTCTTCCCCAGGGACTGAATATCTGCCATTGGACTTCCATCTATGAGCAAATCTTGCTAGCTCCATCTTCCCACCAGGTGTCTCATTGCCACGAGGGTCTCTCATCTGCAGGACATCTATCTCTTTTGCACTTTTTGGATATACTAACTGGCTGCATTGTCACTGATCCAGCTCCATCCACTCTAGGGATGGTTCTTCTCACTGCCCCATTTCTGGAGCCACCTCTCAAGGTGCCATCCCCATCCTGTGGGTGTCTTTGGTCTCCAGGAGGTCAGAATTCCCAGGCTAGCACCAGAGCCAAGTGAGTCAAACTCCCTAACAGTAGGAGGGGAAGGAGAGGTGGGTAGGTGTGAGGTTAAAATCCCTAACTTGAATAAATAATAGACTTTAATATCTTCCTGCCATGACCCTCCCCTTCCTCCACCTTGGATTCAGGGACACATGCTTAAATAGAAATGAGATCACATTTTATGATCCAAAAATAAACGAGAACACCTTTCCTAAAGAGGGAGAATTTTATGATACTGAAATCTAATTGCAGACTTTTGCACAAAAGACATCCCATGAGGTCATACATTTAAATAACTGGTTACATGGAAAATAATCAAATGACAAGAAATGACAGTAGAAACAGCCAGGAATAGTGGGAAGAAGATAGAAGAGACTGGGAGTCAGACAAAGGGGGCTTCAAATGCCAGCCCTGCCATTTCTTTGTTAAGTGACCTTGAGAAGCCATGTAGGTTTCCCGAGTCTGTTTCCTCAACTATAAAACTAAGAAAACAATATTTACCTCGAATTTATTATGAAGATTAACTGAAATATGCATATAAAGAGGCTGGTACAGTGTCTAATGTAAGTACACATTAAACATATATCATCTGTCTATGCTGAGGCAGACACTTAGGGATGGTGCTTGTTTTGAGAATGAAAAGGGAGGAGAAGAAGGAGGAGGAGAAGGTAATAACTAAGGGAGGAAGAAAAAGTACTGAGTTTCTCCTAGAAAAATCTGCCCCGTACAGGCACTCGATCTTTCAATCTGATGAGTCCTAAATCATAATGACCCCGGCCTACACTTAATATGAATGAATGAGAAGCACTCTTTGCAAATTATTGTAAAGCATAATTCTCTCCTGTGCAATTGAACATTCAGACTTTAACAGAAGTGCAAACCCACAGTGAATGCAAACACTCACATGCTCGCCCTCCACCTGGACAGGGCTCCTCAGTGCTGTAAGTACTGACTGTGGGTTCTCTTTATCAGGTTCATCTCCAGGATTAGCTGTTCTATTTTCTGTGCAGTCTCATACCTCTTGCCGGCATATTAATCCTCTTAGAGAATGTATGCTGACTAACTGAAGCAGCTTCTGGCTTTAACATCTTAAAGATTAACTTTAAGTGCTGCCTCAAAAACATACATTCACTAGCCCTCACACTCCACGCAGGTTCTGTTGACACTAAATCCTCAGTAGCTCTAAATAATTTTACCGATTAAAAATGTTTGTTCTTATTTTGGATTCTCTTACTAGCTCTGGAACTTTGGTTATTAAAATCATGAAGTGTATCGGGATGGAGAGATATTTTATGAAGTAAAGTTCGTGCTACATTCATGGTTAATTAACTGCTAATGGTGTTAAGGTGCTGAAATGACTTTTTTTTTCTTAAGTGGCTGGAAAGAAGCTCCTGTTTTAGAGGCATAACTAGGTCTGGATGCCTAGGGATTTAGAATTGCATGTCTTCCCTAGGATCCTAATTCCCAGCCTGCATTTATTTAGGAAACTCCTTCTAAACTAGAGGGAGTCTCAGCTCTTCATTCCCATAAAGGCCATGGGCTATTGGCCGTGTCCTTTTGGTGGTCCATTTACCAGCCACCCCCATCCCTGATCCTTCTTTCTTGCTGGTGGAAGTGGGCCCCACAGTACAGAAGTTAAAGATGTGTGAAGCTCACATTCTCGCCTTCCTTCCTGCTAGGGCGCAGGCCCGAGACCATGTTCTAGATCCTGAAATGTGAGAAGAAATCTCCTAGGGGATTCTGGCATGAGATAAGGGAGGAGAATGTCCCCTTTGTGCCCTTGGAGACAGTTATCAGGGGAACTGACGCCTGGAAGCATCTGCACTGAGATCTTGACACTACCTGGGCAAGTATTAGGCAAAGCCGGGCGCTGAGAATGACGGGGACAGAAGTCCTGGACAAGGCTGGTAAGCCCTGCTGTGTTCCCTGCAGCCCAAAGCACCCTAATGGGTGAAGTGTTGTTTCAACTCAGAAGGAAATGTCTCAGGAAGAGTGCCTGGCGGAGGGCGCCGAGCTTGCCGGGTTCTCTGCTGCTGCTCTGTGATGGTGTTTCCCTGCAGTAACACGGCCACATGCTCTCCCTACGCTGTGCCTCCCTCCCTCTGTGCTAGCCACCAGGCTCACTGCCTCAGTCTCACCTAAGCCCAGGGCCACCAGAAGGGCAGAGACTTGCCGTGGTGCCTATGTCCTATACTCACCCCAGTCTGTCCATTATTGTCCAACCCTCTGTCACAACCCAGCATCATCCTCACCTACAGTCTCCCAACTGGTCTGCTGGCTCCATGGTAGCTGATTTGAGCTTTCTAAAAGAAAGCTGGGATCACCTGATGACTTCAAATCACGCGGTGGGAGACGCAGACATCCCATATGCCGCAAAAAAGAACCTTCACCCTTGTTTCACATGGTCTACAAAAATGAATTAGAATTGAACGATATCTCTAAATGTAAGAGCCAAACTATAAAACTTCTGGAAGAAAACATAAAAGAAAATCATTGCTGTATTGGGTTAGGCAAGAATTTCTTAGGATACAAAGAACAATCCAGGAAAGGACAAATTGATCATTTAACTTACAAAAAAAAAAAAACAAAACAAAAAACTGCTGTTTGAAAGATACTATTTAAAAAATGAAAAGAATGGGAGAAAATACTTGCAAAACACATCTCTACTAAAGGATTGATAACCAGAAAATAAAAATCCCTCTTAGAACTCAGTGATAAGAAAACCCAAAAAGAGATGGGCACATGATTTGAATAGACACGTTAAAAAACAATGTATATGCACAGTAAATAAGCACATGAGGTGCTCAACATCATTAGCCATGAAGGAAATGCAAGTTAAATCAGAATGGGTTGCCACCGCACCACATTGGAAGCTCCCCCACAGTATCAGGATGGCAGAAATGAAACAGGCCAACAACAGCAAATGTTGGTTAAGATGCAGAGCAGTGGGAACACTTACACATTTTTGGTGCAGATGCAAATACTATAGTGACTTTGAAAATAGTTTGGCATTTCCTGGTAAACATATACTGAGATAGGACCCAACGGTCTCTCTTGTAGTTATTTACTGAAGAGAAATGAAAACTTACATTTCCAGAAAAACCTTTATCCAAATACTCATAGCAGTTTTATTCATACTTGCCCCAAACTGGTACTGTCCTAAATTTTCACCAGCCAGAGAATGGATGAACAAGTGGACACAGCTATCCTGCATTATAAAGGATCATGCTATCTAGTCACTTAACAACATGGGTGACTCACGGCATTATGCTAAGTTACATACTGTGTGAGTCCATTCAGATGACAATCTTGACAACAACAAGGTTGGGAGTGGATTACACCTGTAATCCCAGCACTTTGGGAGGCTGAGGAGGGAGGATTGCTTTGAGGCTGAGAGTATGAGACCAGCTTGGGTAACACAGGGAGATTCCCCATCTTTACAAATAAAGAAAAAGAAAAAAGTGGTTTTGCTTTCTTTCAGGATCAGTTGCCTGGAGTAGGGAGCGGGACTGACAAGGGGCGAGAAGAATTTTTGGGGTGAAAACTCTGGATTAATGTCTCTACTGTTTCTACAACTATACACCTTTCCAAACGCCACAAATATATATATATATTTATTAGCTGGGCATGGTGGCGGGCGCCTGTAATCCCAGCTTCTTGGGAGGCTGAGACATGAGAATTGCTTGAACCTGGGAGGGGGAGGTTGCAGTGAGATGAGATTACGTCACTGCACTCCAGCCTGAGTGATAGGGCCAGACTCTGTCTCAAAAAAAAAAAAAAAAAAAAAAAGGACTTCATGGAAGTTCAAATCAATATCTGTACCAGCCTGGGCCCAGGGAGACGCAAGGCGTGAGGGCACGTGTTTGGGTCTTTGTACTTTACACCATCCTTATGCTGAGCCCAACTCACTGTTCCTCCCCTGGTCTCCACTGCGCGGGTCCCTCCAGTACTTCAGGTTCAGAATCCCAGGTGCAGGCTTCCGATTGGTTGGGTCATCCTTCAGCCCACTGGCCAACCTACCTACAGAATGGGAATCTCTGGGCCTAGCATCATCTCTGATCAATATAATTGGTACTTAGGAATCAAGGAAAACCAGGGTTGTGGAGAAACTCTAGACAGCAGTGCTAGCTGCGGGGCACTGTGCTGGTAAGGCCCCATAACAGACATATCTGGTGCTCTCGTCACCATATATGAATAAGCCTATGCTTGATAAATAAGTATAAATGGTTAAATATAAACCTGACAAGTAAGTTCCTTCTCATCCCCCCAACTTGGTGTCTTGTCAAAATTCCAACCTTAGACCCAGCAGCAGCATTCTGACTAAATGCCACCACTTGGTACTGCACCCTGAGGAAGCCAAGGTCCTTGGTGGCTTTGGTCTGATACATGCCTGTCCCTTAACCCCAAAGACCTTTCTTTTTCTTTGGTTATTTTCTCTTTTCTTTTTTTATTAATCTGGCTAGTGGAAGATCCTTTCTTTAGTTCTCTTTGCCTAACTTACCATTTTTGGTGTTCATGGGCTCCACGGAGGAATGGGAAACACTGGAAAGCCTTTCTTGCATGCCACCAGAGTTCCCACCTCTAGACTCCAGGGTGGCCTCTCTCTTGTTTAGGAGTGTTTGGAATACTGACATGCATGTAGATCACACAGGAGTCTCTTAAACATGCAGATTCACCTCGGAGACGTGAACTCTCCAGGGCTTGGGTGGGCCCAGGGATTTGTAGTGCAAACAGGCTCCTCCGGTATTCCAAGGCAGGCAGGATTATATTATGACTGTAGACCATCCTTTGCCCCCTGCAGGGGTGGGCAGGCGGCTGCTTTTCAGACACATGCTTACATGTCCCCATGGGCCACGTGGTATGGCGGCCGGGCTGTGTGACTAGCAGTGGCCCATGAGAGCAAAGGCGAGGGCCACTGCTGTTCAGAGCAGTTAGCTGTCAGGGTGCCATTCACCCTGATCACTTTCCTTTTGCCAACCCTACTGGCAATGTTTGAGACAGTGCCCAGGTCTCAGAGGCTCCTTAGAAATGAATTCACAGGACACTATTCCCCAGTAATGACTATTCACTTAGTGCCCTCTCTGTCCGAGGCACTCCCCCTGCTGGAAGGACACTAGTGAAGGGGCACACGGTTGCCACAGTCACCACGCTTACAGTCAACAGGCGAGACAGATGTTAATCAATTCATTACTAATTAAAAATTAGAGTCTATCAGACTCTCTACTTTCAGGTGGAGGCTTCTAGCTCATGTTTAGATAACTGAATTTCTCACTATCACGGAATCCTGTGTCCTGACACCTAATTCCAGCTTACATGTCCCCCCCCCCCCACCCCCGGGGAAGTGCTTGAACTGCAAGCCTCCCTGCCTTGCCCAGTAGGCTGGGCTCTCCAGGATAGCATATAGACTGCATGGCTGGATTCCACTGTGGCTGCCACTCTGTTGAGAGGGAGCACTGCGTGTGGGCAGGGCCATGTGGAGTTTAGGGGAAGAGAAGGCTCTAAGATACAATCTGTATTTTGGCTCACCCAGAATCATTGCACAGGGGACAACTGCAGCTTCTGCAGCCGCAAGAGTGACAAGTTCATGAACTTGCATCAGAAAGTGGCCCTGAATGGGTCCTGCCCACTGATGTCTACAGGAAATGTAGGGAATGAGGGCCTGACTTAGGAATTCTAGAGATCTATGCCAGCAGGAAAACACTTGAGGACATGTATCTTGGTAGCTTCTCTGTGAATAGTAATGTCTGAACACCCATACATTTTGAGACAACTAAATGGAATAACTGACTCTAGACCTCAATAACGGATCTTGTAACAGAGAGGAAAGAAACACGATGGAAGACATCATCAGATCAACTGGACTAAACCCAAATGTGGCCGTAGATTGGATACAAGTATTTTGTCAATATAAATTAACGAATTTGGTGCCTATTGTGGTTATGTACGATAATATCTTTACTACAACATCAGTGTGTTTAGGGGTAAAGAGGCCATGGTGTATGGAATTTACCCACAGGTGATTCCAAAAGAACGTATCTCTATGTATCAAGGAACTTTTGAAACCTCTATCAAAGCCTCTTTGCCAATCAGGCTATCTGACTGGTGTAGGCATGGATTGCTGAGTGAACCTTCAGCAAAAGCTAGAAGGTTCAAAGCTTATGCATTTAT